AGCGTGCTTAGTTTTTTACAGAGCAGGGACAAACAAACAGTAAGGGAACTCATAGCCTGTAACTTATCTTGTAAGAAGCATTAGAGGAGCTTCTTTCAAAGACAAAACAGGGACTGTAGAGATAGTACAGTGGGTACAGTTTTCACACGTGGCTGACTGGGGTTATCCTCTTGTAGTTCCCTGAGCCTGCCAGGAGCAATTCCTGATTGCAGTCAGGAGTAAGCCCTAAATGCCTTCACATGTGACCTCCACCCAAACAACAAAAAAAAAGTATTAAGAAATAAAAGGCAAGACAAACTTGTCAGCAATTGACATTGAGTATGGTGTTCACTCATGTTTATTTATTTTTTCCTTTTGTGTCACACCCAGCAATGCTAAGGGGTTACTCCTGGCTCTGCACTCAGGAATTACTCCTGGCAGTGCTCAGGGGACCATATGGGATGCTGAGAATTCAACCCAGTTTGGCCACATGCAAGGCAAACACCCTATCCACTGTGCTATGGCTCTAGCCCCCTCACTCATGTTTTTTTTTTTAATTTTTATTAGTGAAACACCATGAGGTACAGTTGTAGATTTACAAATTTTTGTGCTTGGGTTTCGATTATACAATGATCAAATACCCATCCCTCCACCAGTGCCCATTTTCCACCGCCATGGATCCCAGTATCCCTCCCACCCCTAACCCCCCCATCCCACCCTGCCTCTGTGGCAGGTCATTTCCTTTTGTTCTCTCTCTTCTTTTGGGTGTTGTGGTCTGGAAAAGAGGTATTGAGTGGCAATCATGTTCAGTCCATAGTCTACTTTCAACATGCAGCTCCCCTCCTGGGAGGATCCTCCAAACACCCTTTATTTGGTGCTCCCTCCTCTATCTGAGCTGCCCTTTCCCCTAGAATGCCCAGCTGGCCTCTAAGCCATGGAGTAATCCTCCTGGTACTGATCTCGGCTATTCTTGGGTATTAACCTCCTATTTTGTTACTTTATGTCCCCCAGATGAATGCAATCTTTTTATGTCTATCCCTCTCTTTCTGACTCATTTCGCTTAGCATGATACTTTCCATGTAGTACCACTTGTATGTAAATTTCATGACTTCATCTTTTCTAACAGCTACATAGTAGCTATTCTGGCTATTGTAAAGAGTGCTGCAATGAACAAACAAGTGCAGATGTCACTTCTACTATACATTTTTTTTTTTTGCTTTTTGGGTCACACCTGGTGATGCACAGGGGTTACTCCTGGCTCTGCACTCAGGAGTTAGTCCTGGCGGTGCTCAGGGGACCATATGGGATGCTGGGAATCGAACCCGGGTCGGCCGTGTGCAAGGCAAACGCCCTCACCGATGTGTTGTCTCTCCAGCCCCTCAACTGTACATTTAAGGTTGCCTTCTACTAGATTAAGAAAGGTTCCTGCTAAGGAATTTTTAAAAATATATATATATATATATTTGCAATAACAAATTAACAGTTCATTTATATTGATGGTATTTATCTTGTCAGAAGTTTTTCTTCCCATCTGTAGAGATTTTTATTGCAGTCCTTCCTCGGATCAATCACATATAGCACATGTTAATTTAGCAAATAATGCAGCAGGGGAGTAGCACTCTTGGGAGTGAGCCGCTGTTCCTTTGCCAGATGAATATTTACTGAGCAGGGACAAAGGTGGTTATGTTTCTAGTATTTCATCAACAGAGAAGCCAAGCTAAAATATAAATGGCTGAACTAAAAACACCTCCCAAGATTAATGTGTAAGCCAATATTAGTGTCAAATTTTCAAAGAAGGACCATGGAGTAAGCAGGCTGTGGTGCGAGTCCAGCACCTCCAGAGAGTGAGGCATGTGCTTACATGTGTCTCTGTTTTCTGGGAACATTGTTATGTTCTTCCAGCTAGTCCATGACTGCTTACCCGTATCATGGGTCCAGCACAATCTTTTATTTATTAATGCAGACACTTATACAGCCTCCATAATATAGTATTTTCTAATAGAAAGCCATTATTCCCTTCTTTAGAATAAAACACAATTTTATACTTTTATAGGCCTATTCAGTTTCTCCTCAGAAGCATTTTAGAGCTATCTTCACTATTACTAAATTTTACATTTATAGAATTTATCTGTTTCATGTAAATCTTAAAATGTGATATTTGTAGTTTCATTTGTGGAATTCATAGTATACACATAATCTCTTGAATCAATTAAAAATTATTTACCTACATAAAAAAGATAAGTCTTTTTTTGATTTTTTGCTTTTGAATCATACCCAGCTCTTTGTTTAGGGATCACTCCTCACAAGGCTTGAGGGACCATAAGGAGTACTGGGGATTGAGCCAGGTCGGCCACATGCAAGCATATGCCATTCCTTCATACTATTTCTTAACCCTGAGAAGATATCATTTTGTAAAAAGTTATTTTACTTTATCAGCTTATCATTGATTTGGAATTTTGTGGAATTCCAGGAGGCTAGTTCTATACATCACCTCTAACATTTTAAAAAGAGAGAGATCTATTCCAGATGTGAGATAAAAAATAAACATAGTAAGGAAAAAACATATGGTTAAAGTCATCATAACTGAAGAATTTGTTAAAGAATGAGATTACATGGAGGTTGGGAGGGTAGAAAATGTGTTTAGGGTTCTGGTAGAAGGATGTGGACTCTGGTGGTGGATGTAGTGCTGGGTGATGTATCCAAGAAAAAAATATGACTAACTGTACTGTAAGTCCCAGTGCCTCATTTAAAAGTTTGTTAAAGTGGTTAATAAAAAAACTGGTTATACACTGAAAATAGTAAAAAATAGATCAAATAAAAAGTAAAATATTATTCATATGTATGGGTCAACATAGTTCAGCCTGTGCTCTTCAATGGCTAACTATATCTCTAAAAGTGAAGAACAAGAGAGAGTATGTGCACACGGACTCATGGCATCTATCTGGTGCTGTCAATTACAAAACTTCTCGTGTTTAAGTCTGAGACAGGCACCAGCCCTCCCACTGCATCAGAATATACTATTCTCCTTTTATATATCTCATTAATAATTTACATGTTGGCTGTGACCCACTGTATTATTCTTGACTTCCTGATAGGAGCTGTTCTTGGCCTCGGGAGTATTTCCAGAAGATTGGAATTAGTTACTGGTTTCTACCTGATCCACAGGTCTGAGTGTTATTGTTTGGTGTGGCCTAGCCTTTGAAGGTGATTGATACTGTTAAGGCCCCTCAGAGTAGATTATTCTCTTATGGAGACCAAGGAACCCCTGGTTATTTGTACATCCTCAACTTTTCTACCTATAGGTGGTCCATTGGTGGTGTGATAGGTGACATGTGAGAAATATGGTAAAAAGATGTAGTAGCCTTGAGAAAGGAGTCTATCAGCCATCTATTTACCCATTGCTCTTTACCCACTTCAGTTACCCAGAAAGTCTGAGTCGTGTTAGGATGATACAGTCTTCTCTGAGCATTCTTCAGAGTGCAGAAAGCCACTAGCTCCACCAACCAGTTGCTTAGGCCCCTCATGATCTTCAAAATATAGACATTAACCCCATTCTCTGTTTTCTTAGGGAGCCATGCCCACGCTGGAATAAGAAATTTGCTCTTTACAGAGCAAATCAGTCCTGACATCTGTTCAGGTTTTTCTGTCATGTACCCTTAAAATATTTTTTTAGGAATGAAATGAATAGTGAAATAAGAAAAGTTTATCTGGGAAATATGATGAAAGAGAATGATAGTTACGTGCTCAGGAGAGAACACACGCTTCTCCAGAGTTGAGACAGTACACATCCAGAAATAGAGAGATGGGCAAACCCCAACAAGGAGAGTGAGCCGTAAAATAAAGGAGTTACACATCTTGATCAGAGATATAAACGAACCCCAGAATACAGAAATGTGCTTCTTGGGCTCTGCAAATTTAATTTTCGTGTGCTTTTCCCCAAATTACTCAGCTCCTGTGAAAGTGTTGTCAAGGGGAGTAGGTTGGAACTGTTGGTATTCTTACAGTCTGTTTATGCATTGGACTTTCTCTGTCCATAGAGTCCAAACTATGCTTTAAGCTTGGAATTCTGTGTCTCAAAGGCTTCCTAGACTCCTCAGACTAGTCCTGTGTTTCAAAGGCTGATTTGGGTTCCAGACACAGCGACTTTTGGGAATCTACATTTCCAGGGCCACTTTTCTCCCTGTCTGTAACCAAGGCTTGCGCTTCCGGTTTAGTTTAGAAGAGTAGTTTAGAAGAGTCTCCCGCGCTGTGTTTCCAGTCTGTCACATCCACAAGGTTTTAGCTTGACAAATAAACCTTCATCATTTAATCTCGCAGAGGGTTCTCAGTCTTCTAGAGATTACCAGTCACTGTGCTTCATAACCAAAATTTTCGGGCCTGGAGCTTCCAGGCTTTGTCTTGTCTGGCAGTACCGCAGAACAGTAGAGGCAGCCCACAGGGCTCCTGACGAATGGCTGTTCTTTGGTTCCCAGGGTGAATGACTCACCCCTGCGTGTATGACTCACCACTTTTAACTCCTCGAGCTGGGAGAACTCCAGGAAACACATGCCCCAAAAGAAATTAAGACAGAAGTGTTTAAGGAGAACACCATTGGCATGACCAGTTCTGACTGCATTGTTTTTCTGAATATAAAGAAAATAAAGGATGCAGCTCTTCCCTTTCATGCTCCTGTGCTAGCCCAGAGGCCTAGATCATCAGAGCATCTTTCAGTCAAGTCTCCTTGTCTGTCAAGAGGAAGATAATGGGTACGGATATGCGTTCCAACCATGGAACAAGTGGTCTCTGAGTCATTTGTCACTGCTCATCCGTTCTAAAGGAGGAAATAACAGTAGGGCGTAGGTGCCTGGAGGGCCTCCAGGACTGGCTGGGTGTCCAGGAGTTCGGGAAGTGGGGGCGGAGCAAGGGTCGCAGCCCTGGACCCGACTGGCTGGGCCAGGGCCAGGAGGTGATTGGCGACACCTTCACTTCCCCCCGCCCCCCTCACTCCCTGAGTGGCTCTTGGAGACTTTGAACGAGAGAAATCAGCTGGCTAGGCATTACCGCCTGGAGAAGGTCGAGTTCGCAGCTTGAGGTCTGGCGTGCTCCAGAGACGTGCTCAGCCTTCGTGCCCAGCAGTCCCGTGCCAGGACAGCGCCCAGCATTGCAGTAGGTCCCAGCTCTGGGGAGCGGTTGCAGCCGGCGCGCTGCTCTCTGGACTGCAGGCAAGGGAACCCCTGTGGGTACAGAACTGCCTTCTGTGTTGTGAATCCTAGAGGGCAGAGGAGAGGACTGGAGGAGAAGGGCAGGCAGGTTTCCTAGAAAAGTACAGCAAGGGGTGGATAGAGTGCGCTGGGAAGGCTCTCACCCCGAAAAGGGGAAGTGCCGACTGGAGAGTGCCTGGGCCAGCTATCTCCAGAACTAGGGGTGTGTGTGTGTGTGTGTGTGTGTGTGTGTGTGTGTGTGTGTGTGTGTGTGTGTAAGGGTTCTTTGCCAGGATGTACTGGGGTAGGAAGGTGATAGGAAGGTGAGCAGGGAGTGGTGCATCAATCCCCAGGACTAGGGTCTCTCTCTCTCTCTCTCTCTCTCTCTCTCTCTGGCTTCTTTGCCAGGATGTGCTGGGGTAGGAAGGTGAGCAAGGAGTGGTGCCCGGAGGGTTGCCAAGAGGAGCAGGACGCACTTCCTTCAGCCTACCTGAAGCCAAATTCTCTCCTGGTCCCCTGTTTCTCTATTTCCAGTTTCTTTCCTGTGTCCCCAGCTCCTCCTCACATGTCTATGTAATGGGCTCTGGTCTAGAATCCACTTGTAAAGTAGGTAGCTTGAGGCCAGACACAGATGAAGCTCTCGCAGGACAGACTGACTTTTTGAACCCAGAGGGAAGGTGGTGTTGGGATCACTTGGAGTTCCCCTATCCCTTTGGAAGGGAGGGAAGCTATATTTTTGAGACAATTATTCTGTAGCGTTTATATGTAGTCAAGCACACTGAGTCAATATTCAACAAATGTTTTAAACATAAAATATTGACATCACGTTTTCTGAGGGCAGCTCAAAAGAAGAACTTTGCAGTTACAAATTTTGTGTTGCAACTATGATTTTTATGGCCCTTTTACAATTCTTGTATGAGGTAAGTAGTCCATGGACCTGAAAAATCCTAGCAAGGGAAACTCATCAGGCCCACCTGTTTTCCCTTCTGGAATTAAATGTTGGATCACATTTTCTTGACTGTGATCTCTTTGGGTTCAGATCCCATACTGCACACTCCTCTTGCTGATGATGTCTTCTGTGTTAAAAAACAAATTTGGTTCCATTTATTATTATGACCTGGACTTAAAACTCATCAATGTATGGGCTACCTGAATATATTGCCTTAATATAGGTTTTCCTGTTTTACTGACTCTTCTGGGTTGCCCACTTTATTCTGGTTGACTTTTTAATCTTACTAGTCATCAGCATAGGACCCAATCAAACAATTTTCCATTATTTCCCAGTCCAGTTTCTTCAGAGAACAAATTGAACCTTCAGTTTTCCCTCTGAGAAAGTCTTATGATTACACACTAACTCAGTAATGGTTTATTGTGCACCAACTGTATTCTCAATTCCAGGACTTCTAACACCATAAGCATTGAAAAGACACTTTAATTTAAAGGGTAAGTTATTGTTTTTTTCTTTTCCTAGCTTTTGCTTGAGTGGACTTTTTGTTGATATTATTGATTGTAAAATCAACATAAATTTATCAACATAAGATCCATATTATAGCAAACTTAAAAATGTACCTGTGAGGATGGTAGATTTGAGGTGGGATGGGAGGGGACCCGAGGATGCTGGGGGAGTGGCTGGTGGTAAGATGAAAATTGAGACATCATAATCTAAAACTCAACAGGTAGAATTTGTGAATATTGATGCTGTATTGAAACAAAAAAATATTTAAATCTAAATAAATATGTAACAGAAAGTGAAAGTTACAGCTTTCTTATACTCCCTCAATAAATCTAGGAAAGTGAAACTTTCTGCTTTCCTAAGTAGTTAATGAAAGTGAAACTTTCAGCTTTTCTCCTTTTTTTTCCTGAATGAACAATATCTCAGTGGGCTGGGTTGATAAGTTGGCGTTTCTTAGCTAAACAAAAAGTGGATGCTGCATTGGAGTTTGAGCTGAGATAATGTCAAAGGTGGAAGTCCATTTTGTTGTTCTTACAAAATACATTTATGAAGGAAAATATTGAGAATATATAATTTAAACCAGTCCATAATTTTTAAAACAACTATTGGAAGTGTTCTCTAAATTCTACGGATGACTTTTCCTATGGTTGAACTGTCCTAGTTACATTGCATTAGGGCTTGCATAAAAATTCCTGTATCCATTTACTCAGAAAACATAAGTCAGGCTTTTTTCTGGAATCTGCAGCTCACTGAGGCTGAAAAGCATTGTGAAGGGGCCTTTTCCCTTAAATCGAATAAGCCACTGTGAGCCCTATATGACAGTGGGTCATGAATACTGAGGACTAAGTTTCCAGACTTTGACCTCAGTATTGAAAGGACTACAGTATTCACTAGACCCTTTTCCTGTTTTCTTTGTAATGTGTAAAAAGTATTTCACTGAAGTCTCTTTTTATTAAAACTTGACAACTTGTTTTGATATTACAGCATAATCTTGTTTCTGAATTCTATTACTTCATTCTGAATCACCATCTGAGTCTCATTTAGGGAGTGAATACCTGCTCCCAGCATTACCTCTGGAAGAGGATCTGGTTTAGGTGAGTAGTTGACCTACCCACAAGTGCACATTTGCATTAAATTCCCACCCTTTCTCATGCTGGCCTAAGGGGAAGTGCATGAAAAGGTAAGATATTGCTTTGGTCTTTGACCTTTCAATAGGTGGGTGGGGGGACCATATAATTTAATCTCCACACCCAGATTATTCTGAGTATGAAATGCTGTTATGATAATTAATATCAGGACTTCCCAAGCATATCTCAAAATGTGATCACATGACCTAGACACATATTTTATTTACAGGGAACTTTCTGATTTACAAATTGAAAAAAATGTGCAGTTTTCTCTGTAAGAAGTTGGGTCAATTAAGATTCACTGAGTGCAGGACAAGGGAAACTAGATAGTGGTAAGTGGTAGGGGATGCTCACGGCCTACAGATTCTTGTATAGTGACATAGAAGAGTTGAAGCAGTACTAGAGCAGACTTGAGGTATAGTCTAAGGTCTGTGGAAGCAGAGGGTAAGGATTGGATAGAGCAGTGTTCTTTTTTTCCTGGTTCGGAGATAAGGAGAGTTTTTGGGCTTACAGAGAAATACCAGAAGAGATGTTTTCTTAGTTACCTGCTTCTTTTCTGGAATATATTTTCTGTAGTCTATGTTTCCTCTGCTATCCGTACAGGAAACACTCTCTGATTCCATTGCTGCGCCTAAGGAAGGTTCATTTTTTTCTTTCAAGCTTCCACCCATCAATTGCTTACCACTAAAGGAAAAAATGATATTAATTATCTTAATGATAGCTTAGAGGGAGGTTCTTCTTCGTTTATTTTTTTAAAATTTTTTTATTAGTGAATCACTGTGAGGTACATTTACAGACTTACAAACTTTCATGCTTGTGTTTCAGTCATACAATGATCAAATACCCATCCCTCCACCAGTGCCCATTCTCCACCAATGATCCCAGTATCCCTCCCACCATCCCCTTCTACCCCCGGCCCCTCCACCACCCCACCATGCCTCTGTGACAGGGCATTCCCTTTTGTTCTCTTTCTCCTTTTGGGTGTTGTGGTTTGCAATAGAGGTATTGAGTGGCCATTGTGTTCAGTCTATAGACTACTTTCAGCACGCATCAGAGGGAGGTTGTTCTGAGCACAGATGGCTTTAACTGGGCAAGTCTGACTGCCCAGCAGGAAACTATAGTGCCTGGAACCATGACTCTGTCTGACCTCAATTGTTTTTAAATTTTATTTGACTTTTGTAAAGTTGTTCACAATATTTGATTACATTAAATATTCAAATACCAATCCCACCACCATTACATCTTCCCACCACTGTATTTTGGATATTTTGTTCTGAACCCCAAGCCCTGTTCCCAAAGCAGAACTGAAATAATTTATTTTGTATTGCTTGTTGCTGGAGCGGTAGCACAGTGGGTAGGGCGTTTGCCTTGCATGCGACCGACCCAGGTTCGATTCCTCTATCCTTCTCGGAGAGCCCGACAAGCTACCAAGAGTATCCCTCCTGCACAGCAGATCCTGGCAAGCTCACCGTGGCATATTAGATATGCCAAAAACAGTAACAACAAGTCTCACAATGGAGACGTTACTGGTGGCCCCTCGAGCAAATCAATGAACAACTGGAGGACAGTGTTGCAGTACTACAGTGTTATGAATAATCTAAAAATGATCCACAAAAGGTTTCCTAGAGGAAAGTGTGTGAAGTTTATTGTATTTCACCCAGGAGCCATTAAGTCCTTCTATAAAAGATTAGTAACATGTTAAAGGTTGAGTCTTTGGGGGCTGGAGTGATAGCACAGCGGGTAAGGCGTTTGCCTTGCACGGAGCCAACATGACTGACACAAGTTCGATACCCAGCACCCCATATGGTCCCCTGAGCACCGCCAGGAGCAATTTCTGACTGCATGAGCCAGACCCCTGAGCACCGCCGGGTGTGACCCAAAAAGCAAAAAAAGGTTGAGCCTTTGAATGCTTATATCTATATTTGTATAAATATATTTCCCCCTAAGATTCGTTGCCTTATACTTTAAGCCCCATCAAATGGGGTGAGCTAGTCTTGGTTTATTAGTGGTGTAAACTATGAGATGTTCAGGAATAGATTCACTCATGGATGGGGCTCATCGGAGCATGTGGAAAGTGGCCACGATAATGGCGATGGTCCAACCCCAAATTTGACAAGGGCAGTAGCCTAGCTGAAAAACACACCCAACCTAAGTATGAATTACTGTTCTGATAATTCATATTGGGACTTCCAATAGATACATACACCCAACCTTCACCCCAAGAAATGGCATGGCTAAAAGAGATGAAAGCCCACATGGATATTCTCATGCAATCGCCCCCACCCCACCGCCAGCAAAACAACAACAACAACAACAGCAACAAACTTTTACCCAACTCTACCCTTTGCTGGATACTGCTGATAAAAGCTCACTCTTAGAAATTGGCCATTATTTTAACCTCCATCCCTTTAGCATTCCCCAGAAGTTAGGGGTAGAATTGAAACTTTCGAACCTCTGATCACATGACTGGAATTCCTGGCAACCAGGCCCTTCCTCAGGTAAGATCCAGAACTCAACTCATCAGTATGAGAAAGAGAAAATGTAATCGAGGAAAATGTAATGATTCTAGCTTCCTTGTGCTGAAATGAGATCAAAGACCAAATACACATTTATTCACGGTATTACATACAGAAGGGAGCTACTGCTCTTCTGACCTGTTCTTCCTCTTCACATGTTTGACCTGTGGCTCCTGGTGGTTTAAAGGGCAGAATCTTTTGAAATAGTCATTTCCTTCCTCATCTTCCTTTAGCCACAATAGGAAAGGCTGACACTCTATAAACTGAGGGAGGGGGTGTAAATGCCGAGGAAAACAATCCAAAAGTAAATATGTTAACCACTGCTGCACAAATTTTTTTCCTCCTCTGCTCCCAACTGTTTTCTCTGGTTTTCAGAATTCACTAAAAATGATCAGTATATTAATTATCTTAATGATAGAAATTTCTAAAATATGCACCTTTGGCCTTTTTGCCGAAGTGCTAAAAGTGGATTTCATCATCCATTTATCAAAAAATTGATAAGTGGATGATGAAATTCAAAGTGGAGAATCTGTACTAGGAGAAATGTGTATGTTCCAGATTCACTTATTTCATATCTCTGAGGCAATGAGTAAGTCTGGTTTCACTGTTCAGTCTCTAAAGTGAGACCATTTCCTTTCTGCAAGTTGTTAGGGTAACTGGGATGCTTTAGGTATCAGGTGCTCTGGATTATGATTTTGTTAATGAAGTTTACCTCCCAGATGGACTGGGGTTGACTACTGTCATAGGTGCATGATCTTAGGTCACTTTTCTGATTACCATGCTGAAGTAAAAAGAAATCACTGTGGTATGTCATGTGATTTCTTCTTACACTGGCTTTGAAATGATGTCAAATCAAGTCCTTAGGAATTTGTGCTTTAGTCCTGATCCTCCCTCTTCCCTGATATGTTTGACTGAAAGAGGATATTTAACATTATAAAAGGTGAAGAAACAGGCTTTATCTGTAAGCTTAAGACATTCTTAGGAAAGGAAAGGAATTGAAGGTAGGTTTCTACTGAAAAATGAAATTACACTTTTGATGTATTATCCTTATGCAGATAAGTATGGACTCATTGTCATGGTGACCTGGGTTAGTATTGGAGGGACTCAGTCTTCTGTGTTACTTTTTCCTAGGGCCCTGCCTTTGTTGAGAGAATAGTTTCCACAGGAACTAAAATGGACCTTGGCGGTCATCACAAGTAAGTATCCATACCTCTGAACTGTGTGCCATCTTGGTTGGTTTGGGTCTACTGTGCTTCTTTTGTGCCACACTATTTTATAAAAACTAGTGTTTACAAATACATTTGGTTCTCATAACAGAGACTGAAGCATGGAGGCTTGGTAGGCTCATGAATGAAATGGATAAATAACTCCACAGCTAATGCTAAGCCTTTGCTCTTGGGATCCACTGTCTCAGAGACCAAGCCTCATTGCCTTAGGTCTGTGTCTGGTGGGATTTAGCTTATATTTGGTTACTCTTCTACCACATTTCTCTTGATTTCATCCCAGATCTTTAATTCTGTATCTTTACCTATTTTGATGCAGTTATTCATAACTCTACATTCTTTCCTTTAACCTCTATGTTAGCATTGTTGTAAAAATAAGATGTCTTAATTATAAGCCCTAAATGAACTTTAAATCCACTAATTTTTCTATTATTCTCACCACCAAATTGTCTGCGGTCTCTGCTGGGTTTACCTGTAGATTCATTCAGTCTTATCATAGCTCCCAGTCTTGCTATGATAAGATACATAGTCACACATGACTCCCTGGGAGTCTTCCCTTGGAGCTCAGACATGAGGATTCCTTCCTCAGTTTTTTCCTTGGAGGCTTCTTAGGAATTCTATGACTTTCGAATACTCTCATGGTAATTGCACATACAGATCTTAATTCCAAATGGAAATCTCTCTTTTCTTTCATAAGTCCATTTTTACATTTTAATTATTTTCTATTTTTACTTAGGTACTTTGATTGTGGTTTGCAATGCTGTTAGTGATAAAGTTTTAAGCAGACAACACTACACACATCACTGTAGTACCTATGACACCTCCTGAGTCCTTACATCAGTACTGTGGGCTCAGTAAAGTCATTTCTCATATTCTTTTGCCATGGGCCATTTTTTTTATTCCTATGCTCCATTTCCTTATATTACATATGTGAGAGAAATCATTCTGCATTTGTTACTCTCCTCTGAATTTTACAGTGGCAATGTTACCAGTGTCCAAAATGCAACTTATTTTTCTGACTATTCAACATTGAAAGTTATGTTTACTTCTGAACTTCTTCCACTCAGATTTCCTCACTTAGTTGCTGTTATGAAATTCTGAAATCGTTTAGATTTGTTGCTTGTTTTGGGGCCACCCCCTGTACTCAAAGGGAACTCTCCTAGTCAGTTGCTCCTGACACTGCTAGGGGGACCATAATCAATGCAGGCTGTAATGCATGTGTCTCAAATCTAGCCCTTTGAACTATCTCTCTGGTTCTAAAATTAAGAAGTAAACTCATTTAATGTAAGATAAAATTGATTTGTCCTTTCAGCCTTCCGGCAGGGAGCTTAGGTCTATTGGGTTACTCCCATTAAAGTGCTCCCTTCCTCCATGTTTACTTGTAACTTCTTTCTTTGTGCTCTGTTGACTTGTAAATATTATTTTTCTCTTCTCCTTAAGTCCTTTGCATAGTTAATTTAGAGCAATGTTCTTTTTGTATGGACACAAGAAGACAGTTAATGCTATGCTTTTATAACTTGGGAGTTAATTGACTCCAGATAATATTACCTCTGGGGCATCTGTTCTCCAGACCTAAGGCTTAGTTGCCTTTACTTTCTAGCACCCCAAAAGCAGGATTGTGATGAGGGACTGGATAGACCCAGGGAAAGCTGTTCTACCCTGGCATCGAAATGGGCCTGGCTAACGTGCCATAATCTTAACTATAAGTTAAGAGCATGGTCATGGACAAATGCTGTCATGATCCAAAAAGCAATAACTAGATTTGGACCCTGCTAGGGGTAGCACTGTAGCACTGTCCTCCCGTTGTTCATCGATTTGCTCAAGCGAGCCCAGTAATGTCTGGACCCTGCTAGGGGTAGGAATGATTAATCTGGGCTGAGCACTGTAATCTGAGTCTGTGGCAAGATGTCCCCAGGAAAGCCATTCTACAAGCTCATTGTATCTCTTACTGTGTCCATACAAAATAACTAGTATTAAGAAGTAGAACTAAGATGTTAATTATGTTATTGGACTAAGGAGAGCAGAAACACCCCTAAGTAGTATTTTGCCTTGGAGCAGAAGAAGGCCTTTTGATACGTTGATTTTGCTGCCAGACAGGGTGTGGTGACTACCCCCAATGCTGGGGAGTTGGAGAGAGACAGAGAGAGAAGACCAGGGCAGCAAGATGGAGCACAGAGAGACTAGCAAGGGGGACAGAGGGAGAAGAATGTAGAGGAAGAATGCAGGAGCAGGTGCGTGGAGAGAGAGACCAGGCTGCCAGATGGAGCGTGGAGAGATGAGCAGGAGAGACAGGAGGAGATGGGAATGAGGAGCAATGTCAGACTGGAATGGGGAGCTTAGTGAGACTGGAACAGGAGCATAGGGAGAATGGAATAAATGGCACCTGATCATCAACCAGTTTGTTCCTCGCTTCCTCCTTCATCCACCCATGGCCTGTGTCGCCCCAGGTGGGGGAGCTACCCTAGTCCACCAAACCCAGGCAGCGAGAGGGAGAGCCGTCAGGGCTTTCCTTAGCTGCCTGGAGATTATACAGCTTAAAATATTTTATTCCACAGGTATGCTTATTTTGACCCGAATTGAGTTGAACAGGTTGGGTTGATATTTTTATTGTTGTTGCATTAATTTTCAGCCCTTAGAGGATTCCTTTCCATTGACTCCAGGCACTTGAGTTCAAGACTCCTCATTCCTGTTCTGAATGAAGTGTGTGCTATGAGGAGTTTCCGAATGTTGAGTTGAACTCAGCCTTTCCTAAGGACCTCCTCGACTGCCTATTGCAACTTCCATAAACAAACCAGGCTTGCAATCAAACTCTTCTACATAAGGTTTTGCTTCCTAATATTTACTGCATTTACTGATTCATTTCTGATGAGTTATATGTAACAAGTACTCTAGGTACCCTGTCTTGTCCTTTCCTGGAGAAAAGTGTCCCTTCTCAATTTTATGTCTCTTATGAGGAATCATGCACATCCTCATAAACAAACAAACAGAATCCTGTCAAAAACCAGAGACCAAAGAATTTCACCTTAAGGGCCATAAAAAAGTTCTTAACTCTGCCTTGTAGATTTAGTATAAAAACAGTTATAGCTGAATGACGGGGGGCTGGAATGATAGCACAGTGGGTAGGGCATTTGCCTTGCACGCAGCCAACATGGCTGACACAGGTTCGATTCCCAGCACCCCATATGGTCCCCTGAGCACCGCCAGGAGCAATTCCTGAGTGCATGAGCCAGGAGTAACCCCTGAGCATCGCCGGGTGTGACCCAAAAAGAAAAAAAAACAGTTATAGCTGAATGAATGAGTGTGCAACAAAAGCCTAATAGACTACATGTCGCTGGGTTTGTTGTCAGACATAATTATTGATTTCTGTTTTAAGCTGATATAGATGTTATCCTTAGGCTTCACCCTTTATCTATCTCACAGTAATTAATACTGCCATTGTTTTTGCTTATATTCATTTTCTTAAAAGATTTTGAGCATTTTCAAGGCAAGAACTGTATTAGACTTACTTAGGCCTGAAGTGACTGGTGTGGAATAGGCTTCTAGTACTCACTTTAGGCTTCTAGTATTCATTTTTAGTCATAACTTAACCATTACTAATAGATAACAAGTCTTCACAAACAATAATCTATTTTTACATCCAAAGCAAAGAAAGAAATTGGTGTGATAAGTTTCAAAGTACATCGGTTTGGTGGGGAAATGCATATTTTCACTTCGATTTTAAAAAATTCAATAAAATTTCCAAATGTTGTACCTCCTGATAGAGGGCACTCCTTTAAGTATCAGACTCACAATAAAGCAGCTTATCAAATTCACAGGTATTCTGCCTTGTATTTACAGAAAAAGCTTTTATTAGACAAACATTTGAACATGCAAGCAGTCTAGGTAAATCATTCTTCCTTAAGTCATTCAAAGATAATTCAAATTCTTATGCCCATGCAGTCTTATTTCTCCCTTTACCCCTTTGATTTTTGGGCCACACAAAAGCAGTACTTGGGTATTGTTCCTGGTGGTGCTGTGGCAGGGCCCTTGGGTGAGGGTGTGTATGGGGTGATGGTATATGGTATTGGGCATATAGATAAGCTTCTTGTGTTTTTTTTTAATGTGAATGATTTACCTAGACTGCTTGCATGTTCAAATGTTTGTCTAATAAAAGCTTTTTCTGTAAATACAAGGCAGAATACCTGTGAATTTGATACCTGTTATCTCTTTCCAGGCCCATTCCTTTAGAGTCTTCTTTATCTTTTTCTTGGAATTAGATGGGAAGAAAGATAATCTGTTGAGTACTGCACCAAAAATCAGGCTCAGAAGGAAGAAGCAGAAGGTTCTGATTTGGTTCTGCTTCTATAAGGAAGAAGCAAAAGATCAATTTCTCTGATCTGGGCTCATGTCATTATCCTTGACATTGGCAGGACTCGTTACTGTTGGATCTCCTTTCTGTGTAGATACGGAGGTGTAGTTATTGAAGGAGTCATTAAGGTGGACTTAAATCAGACTCCAGATGTTGAATATTTATTTGTATTAATTTATTTTACTTATCTATTTATATATATTATTTAAATGAGACTAGAGTCTAAAGTTGAGACTGATTAGATAACAAAGTTCCAGTTTTAAAATCAAATTTAAAATTCAATTTTTTTTTTAATGTGAAAATTGTTACCTCTCACCATCAGGATAAGTCCTGGTCTAAGGATTTACTAAACTTTTTCTAGTTAAGCTTTCTGTGTTGTTTTTGTTTGTTGAGTTTAGTTGACTTCTATGTTATTTTCCCACTCTGTGGAATGTCAGTATCGAGGAATTGGGAAGTGTTGCATGGCCATGTACGTGGCTGTGCAGTCCAGAGACTTCAAGATCTATGGTGATCTATGGTCTGGGCCAATGAGTTCACATGGTGGTGGCTGTTGGAGGTGGTCCTGGCTGTCAGAGCTTCTGGAAGTGGAGAGGGGGCATGAAGATAGGCTTTCTGCACCCACTCCGAGGAGACCAAAGAGTTCTCACCCGGGGAACCAGGGTATCCTGGAATTTTTTTGCAGTTTTGCATCTGCAGAGAGTATTAGTGAAGTGGTGGAGTTGAGTCTTTGGCATGGCCACAGTGGTGGGTATGGGTGTGGCTGCTGGGACTTTGGCATGGGGAGTATTCAGTCTGCCCCTCTGCCAAGGGATCCCTAGAGTTTTCAACAGGGTGAACAAGTGTGTCCGTGAATTTTAACTGCTTAGCTTACATCTCTTTAGAGATGTAGTTATGAATTGATAGGGTGCTTGGGTGAGTCAAAACGGCCGGGACTGGAGAGGTTGGAGTGGCTGTCGGGGCTTCCGGAGTTGGGAGAGAGGATGGGTTGCCCAACCCCAAAACATTAATTTTTATAAGTAAGTTTTATTGGAAACCAACAATTTTCATGTTGTCTGTGAGTCTTTTTATGGGATTACAGCACAGTTGAGCAGTTGTGACATTTTATTTCACAAAGGGGATAAAGGGGGTTTTATGAAAGAAAACTTGCTGATCTTTGTCTGCTCTCCACCAGAAATAAATTGTGACCCACACAACTTTTTATTAGCTACATTGAAAATAAATGCAAAGGGCAAAGCTTAGTCTCATTGTTCTTACTGATACTGTATAAACAATACAAAGGGAAATGAGAGTCATACAGACTGGAGAGGTCTGTAGGTGGTAGACTAAGAGGCTGCTTATACCTCCTCTTTCCACCTATGTTTCCTGTGGTGAACGGATCATTTTAAGAATAATTTCAAGTTTATGAGTTAAATTGAGGAGTTTACTCACAACTGACTTTATTCCTTTTTGTCTGTTTATTTTTGCCTCTGGCTGGAACGATAGCACAGTGGGTAGGGTGTTTGCCTTGCACGTGGCTGACCAGGATTCGATTCCTCTGTTACTCTTGGAGAGCCCGGCAAGATACCGAAAGTATCCTGCATATGGCAAAGCCTGGCAAGCTCCCTGTGGCATATTTGAAATGCCAAAAACAGTAACAACAAGTCTCACAATGGAGATATTACTGGTCCCGCTCAAGCAAATTGATGAACAATGGAAGGGCAGTGATACAGTGATACAGTGATTTTTGCCTCACAGTACCTAATGGTGCTCAGGTTTCACTCCTGGTGGTACTACAGGGGACTATACTCAGTCCAGGAATGAAATTCCAGTTGGCTGTATGCAAGTAGTTTACCCACTGTACTCTCTCTATGTACTGGATATTATATTAATACAGAGTAATTATATATATATACTATATGATATGTATTATACATAACATATATAATATAATAAGTAGTTGTGCTTCTCTTTGTTCTTTCTGATTCACCTTAAGTAGAAAATAACTGAGACCAGGGAAGAAGGACCTTTTGCAGTGTTAGGGCATGTTATTCTATCACATCTAGTCAAAGGATCCTTTTGTGAACATGGCAGTCACTGGTATTCTGAAAAAATTCTGCTTCTTTTTTTTTGTGTGTGTGTGACAGGGACAACTTTGTACAACTTTGTAATCCAAATGTGGCAACATTGAAAGAAGATGTTCTCTACCATTTTGGTCTCAGTACTGGTACCCATGACCTCTCAGCAATGTTTGGAGATGTGAAGGTAAAATTCTGAAGATTATCTTAAGACAAACTTCCTCATGGGCAACAGGGTATACTTCCTTATAGAAATCTTGTGGTAGCAGAGGAAAGGTTCTTGAAATTATATGATTATCACTACTTTTTGGAAAATTATTACTTTTTGAATATGAGTGGAAGTAAACTATTGTGATTCAACTGTAATGGTCCTAACAAGTTTCTATAAAGCTAGATGATTGAGACAGCATAAAATTAGTGTTTCTTGATTCATCGAGAGAGAAGAAATAGCAACATAAAATACTTTTCTAGGGAGCAAGTATAATTAATTATATGGGAGCTATTTATCACTTCACGTGTGTATTGATACCATTTAAATACTTTCACTAGTTTATTTTGCCGAGTGCATCTTCTAGGCTATTTCCCCCAAGTCTTAAATTTCTCAGTTCTGATCGGCCCTATTATAGGATTTATAAAATGTTTAATCTGGCGGATAAAGCTAGATTAACATTTAAGATTAAAAATCACATTACTGTCACTGTACTACTGTTATCCCATTGTTCATCAATTTACTCCAGTGGGCTCCAGTAACTTCTCTATTCCTCCCATCTCTGAGATTTTAGCAGCCTCTTCTTACTGTCTATATAGCCGTCCCCTTTCCTCCCCCACTCCCATCATCCCTCAGGATGCTCGGGGTTCCAGGGGGTGACTTCAGGCCGAGGTGGGGTCCTGAAGCCTCTTCAGTTCATAAAGGGCACACCACCAGCCCATCTTGCCTGCTTCTCTGGGGAGGTGGAGCAGGAGAGCACGTGTTAGGACCAGAAAGATGATGAACTATCCCAGAGGAAACTTTGGTGGAGGTCGGTAGTGGTCCTAATGTGCAAATCAGTTGTCGGACCTGGCGAAAGACTAATTGAACCATCTAGTAGCTGGTTCCCTCCAAAGTTTCCCTCAGGATAGCTGGTGCTCTCGCATGACCACCCACGCAGTTTTATCTGGTAAAGCGAATGATTAGAAGTCTTGGGGCCAAAAAATCAAATCAGAAAAATCATTGCTTTAACATAAGATCACTATATAACAAGACCATAACCACTAAACTTTTTATTTTGTTTGTGTTTTTGTAAAATACCTAGAGGTGCTTAGGGCATGCTACTGATTGTAGCAAGTGATCACTTCTGGTGGTGGTTAGGGGACCACATGCTATGTCACAGGGATCAAATCTGAGTCATCCACACGTAGGCAAGCACTCAGTTCCCTGTACTGTCTCCCCAACACATGAACCCTTTCTTGTATTTGATTTTAAACCATAGGAAATTTTTCTTTGTGTTATTAATATATTTTGTTTCCATTTTTAAAGTTTAACTTATAATTTTTTCTAGGCTACAAAAACTTCTCATTTTATAGAGAAATCATTTTTTTTACCATCAAACTTAGTGACAATGAAGTGTTTGCTTCTTTTACTTATTTACAATAAAATGAAAAGTTTTTGTATATAGTCCTTCACAGATTAAAATTTTTACTTTCTAGAGAGTTATACACCCATGATAATAGTTGTTTCCTGACAATGCAGCTCTTCTTCCCAATACTCCCTCTCCACATCTTTGTATGAGTGGGTCACTTTTTGACCCTGGAGATCCAGATCAAATAGGGTTAAAAACTCATTTTACAGATAATCTGTGGGGTCTGGTTGTACAATAGATGAACCTGTAGCACCTTATTCAAAACTCAGAGTCCTCTTGTATGAAGCTGCTGTTTGTGAGATGCATAAACACCAGACAGAAATAAAACTTGGAATCAACTTCTCAGAGAGCAAAGATTGGGTTTTACTGCATTTTGAGGAATCTATTGGTGGACTCTGTATTTCTGAAATGTTGAGACATAGAGCCACCAGAAATGCTTATTAAATAATGGTTCTCAGACATGGCAGTTCCAATGTGGGATCAAAGTGGGATCAAGATGAGCATTTGTTAGGTAATGCTGATGTTCCAGTTGGCCTCACTTTGAGAACTCTGACTATACAGTGGTCATGGTGTGCTTGTGGGGAACTCTATTCTTTCTCTGCAGTTTGTGTGTGTTGGGGGAACCCCCTCCCGGATGCAAAGCTTCATCAGATACTTGGCATCGGAGCTGGGCTTTGACCAACCAGGTGCAGACTACCCCAACATCTGTGAGGGGACTGACCGCTATTCCATGTTTAAAGCAGGACCAGTGCTGTCTGTCAGTGTGAGTAATTCCTCTTGCTGGTGGGTTCAGTCCTTATATTTTGCAAGGTATTGCTAACACATGCAGACTCTGGACCCTTTCAATTATACTAGATCAGGCTAGGAAAAGGGCTGGGTAGGGTTGCAGAGACACTTGATACATAGGACCTTGTCTTCCCATACATCTCTGTCTGGTACAGACCATACAGTATTGGTATAATGCAGATACACACAGTTGTGTGCTTGCAGGGAGGATTGAAGATTACAGACATAAGATGGTTTCCTACACAGACCAAGATTATTAAAGAAACATGGAGGAGCAAGAGGGCGCTCACAAAATTTTCTTTCATGTACATTTTGATCTGTGACAAGAATGAACATAAATCACTGCTACTCTTCAGAAATAAAGTCTTATTTCTAGCTTTCTTTTTTGGTAAAAATATAAATAAACTATCACTTAGAGTTAATGAAATCCTTGTCACTTGGATGAGTATCCTCATCTGTCTGTTGACTGAGGATCAGAGGACATCTGTGTGGTGATATTTAGTTCCAGAAAATTTATAGGAGTAATTTCTGCGTCTAAGACTCTGGCAAAGAAGCATTTCTGCCATGGGGCAGTGCTGGAAGTGCTGAATGAGTCTGGGAGGAGCATTGTGGAGATTAGATCTTGGAAGGACACTGAAATTGGTGAGGTTCAGAAAAACTGTGATGGAAGTGCCAAGAGAACCTGGGAGGGATCAGTCTCTTGGTGTGACTGAAGAAGTGAGTGCAGGGAGGAAATTTAGAAAGAACTACTTCCAACAGCATGGTATGGGATAGTATTGGCGCAGGCCTCCAACTGCCACTGCCACTGGGCTATTTGGTACCTGGTCATAGTGGCTCTTCAGGGAGCCTCTGATTCCACAGATGCTTAACTGTGCTGTGGAATGTGTAGGCAAGATGGAGCCATCTGCATGACAGCCTTGTGCAAAGTTTGCCATTTCCCAAGTTTCAAAAGTTTTAAAATGTGATTTCAATTTAATCTTCTTAGTTTAAAATACACCATAGAATCCATGAAGACACTGACGAATTTAACTGTGGTCTTTCTTTCTGATTACAGCATGGAATGGGAATTCCTTCCATCGCCATCATGTTGCATGAGCTCATCAAGCTGCTGTACCATGCTAGGTGCTCTGGAGTCACCATCATCCGTATTGGCACCTCTGGAGGGATAGGTGTGTGATAGAGGAGTTATTTGCCCACGGTTGCTATTGGGTAGTCAGGTCTAGAGAGTCCCTGAAGCAGGCCACTGTATAGTGAGCTGGAACACCCAAATCTTTCATATTTATTTTTTGTCCAAGTAAAGCTGATTACCAGGAGACAAGAAGAGAGAAAGCTTGTTTCGCGTTTTTTTTTCCCTGCTTTCCAGTCCATTCTCCCAATCAACAGATTTAAATAGGTAACAGAAAGGCAGCAACATTTTTGCAGAAGTTCATTCATTTTTGGTTCAAACTGGTATGCAAGTTTTTCTCTTGTTTGCTCTAATCAATTTTTATTTTTTCTAATCACTCTACTTTTGTTTCTTATCATGTCCTTTGTCTCTTCTCCTCCCTATTCTTGCAAGTATTTGAAGCACCTTATGAGACAAACTGAAAGATAACAAAAGGGTAAAAATATAGAACACAAAATTAAGAGATATATCCTTCAGTTTTCTGAAAAGTTTCAGTCTTCAACTTAACTTTTTTGGGGAATCAATGTTTTGGGGACCTGAGAGTCACTGATCGCTATTGGCAAAACAACAGCGTGGCTGTGCAGGTCAGATGATTCAATATTCAGGCCGGGCTACACAGTGCTGGGAACACCAGGGTTATTGTGTGGTTGCTATTATGTCAACTTACATGTCCAGACAGATAAAAATATAATTACCAGAAATCGTAATGTTCCACATAGAAGAGCATGGCCCTGGAAACTTCTGCTCTATTGTTTGTAATTTTCTATTTCTTTCAAAACTATTCAAAACACTTATTATCAGGAAAAATTGGTGCAGAAAACAACTCCTTATCTAATTTTTGTTTTGTTTGGAGGTCAAACCCAGTAGCACTCAGGGTCACTGGCACTAGCCCTAGCCTTTCAGACCTTCCTGGAAGTGTTTAGGAGTCCAAATGCCCAGGCACCCCTGATCCATATGCAAAACAAAGCTAGATTTACATGTACTCAGCAAGTTAAGATAGCTTTCCAACTGCTTATCTAGTCTATATTTTAAAGAGCATTTTGGGTGCTACAGTACTTTTTTGCAGAAAACAGGTTATTTTCTTTTATGCATGTGCTTAGTTCTGCCTTCCCCACCAAACGTATGTAATTGCAATTTGTGCTTTTTCCTTTAGGTCTAGACCCTGGCTCTGTGGTCATCACTCAGCAGGCTGTGGATGCCTGCTTCAAGCCAGAGTTTGAACAGATAGTCCTGGGGAAACGGATAGTTCGGAGCACCAGCTTAGATGAGCAGCTTGTGAGGGAGCTAGTTGAGTGCTCTGCCTTTCTTAATGAATTCCCCGTCATTGTGGGGAACACCATGTGCACGCTGGACTTCTATGAAGGTGAGAGGAGGACTTCATCTTCCAGTGACAGACTTGTTTTTAGGGTTCTCTTGGCTCAAGTTTCAACAATGTTCATAACTTTGCCAAGTTACTTATGAATGGGTGGAGCTTTTTGGGTGGGGGGGTCTCAAAAGGTGCTCAAGCGGTCCTGGTGGTCCATCCTAAAAATTCTAGGAAAACTGGACCAGTTGTTCAATGTGACAATCTGAGGAACCAGTGTTGCTTGGGTTTTGGTGGTGCCAGGAATTACCTGGACTATCCTGAAGGTGCTCAGGGTCTTCTAGGATCACACCAGGGCAGTGCTGAGACCTGTTCCCAGTGATACTTGGGAATCCATTGAGTGTTAGGGATCAAACCATCAAACCAGAGTCAACTGCTGAAGAGGCATTTTACTCTCTCTTCTCTCCAATGACTGGATCCCTTGGGCTAGAGCAGATAGGGCCTGGGGAAAATGATGTGAACCTTTCTCAGTGGGGTGCATATCAAGAGCAGACTGGTGGAGCTCAGCATGTGTATGTGGTGAGCATATTTAAATGCTCATGTGTTTTTAGGGCAAGGTCGTCTGGATGGTGCTCTCTGCTGCTACACAGAGAAGGACAAACAGGAGTATTTGCAGGCAGCCTATAGCGCTGGGGTCAGAAACATTGAGATGGAATCCTCAGTCTTTGCTGCGATGTGCAGAGCATGTGGCCTCCGAGGTAGGCTGGCATATGATCACGGCAGAACTTTCATCTCCTTTTTCTTATGCTGGATCAGCCTTATTCAATGCAACTTTCTTCAAACATTCCCTCAAAGCCCTATCCTACCTGTCTTTACCTTCTGATCAGCCTGTCTCTGTGTGATTTCTGAGTGATTGACATCATTGCAGCTATATGCCCAGCTTTTTCAACTTTGAATGAAAATGTGTTTAGGTGCCTCTACATGGGGTGAGAAAGAGGATGGAAAAAACCCATTTCAGTTTAGGTCAGGATTTACTGTCAGATCTATAACAAACCTGGCTTTCCAAGCTCTTTGAATTTATGAACTGGGCACTTGAAGGATGGATGTATGTCATCCTTCAATGTCTAGGATGGGAAATTCAGAGTTCCCAGACACCATCATCCTGGATTTTAAGGCATAACAGTGGTCTTGGAATTTTCTTGGTAAATTTCTTTTGGAACGAATGAAAGGGGAAATTAAGAGAGAACAAGACAGGATGAAGATGGAGGAGTCTCGCAGAATTTTCTCTTTTCATCTACAAATGACCTTATATATCAGCTCTTCTAAATAACTCTTAGTCTATTCTCTGACACTAGAAATTGAGCATCTTGATGAGGCCTTTGCTCTTTTCAGCGGCTGTGGTATGTGTCACCCTCCTGGATCGCCTCAAAGGGGACCAGATCAGCAGCCCTCATGAGATATTGCTTGAGTATCAGCAGCGGCCTCAGCGTCTGGTGGGCTACTTCATCAAGAAAAGTCTTGGCATGCCCTAAAGCCTCCCATCTGGAAAAGAGGAGTTGACTGGAATAAAACTATCGTCAAAGCCCCATTTTATGTTTGTTTTATAAGAAATTAGGGTATAGGATTGTTTTTGTTGGAGCCAAATTATGCTTCCTTAATTTCCAAGGACATTTCTATTTGTTCAACCTCATTGGAGACTTTTTCAACTATACTTAGCCCTGCTTGGGTTCTATTTAAAATATATTTATGAATTTGGAATATTTATACATGTATTTAACATGGGAAGTTAACCTTTATAGGAGATTCCATTAATGATATTTATCTGCTCCCAAATCCTGAAACCATGGAAAGGAAATTCAGTCTGGCCTGCAGCAACCCCTGCTGTTCATGAGAGGGAAAAACATACTTCTTCCCTGTACTTCTGCCTTCATCTGTCAGCAGTAGTCATTTCCTGACCCGCGACAGGTGGAATATCAGTCCAGATGATGGCATCCATAGAGGGTCAGACCAAGGATGGCATGCAGTAAATCCTAGTTAAACGGATGAGATAAAAATAAAAATTTTATTTCTGCTATGAGAATTGACACACAGATTGAGTTAGTTTGTTTTGTTTATTTTTGTACTACACTAGGAGGTGCTCAGGGATTACTCCTAGGGCTACACTCAGTGATCACCCCTGGAAGTTCTTGGGTCATGGGGTTCCGGACTCGAACATGGATAGGCTTGTGTAAAGCAGACACCCTAACAGCTATACTATCTCTCTGGCCCCCCACAGACTTAGTTTTCTACCCTAGCTATCTCCAGTGCTGACATTGCCAACATCCCCCAAAACATGTTACCTGGATTCTTCAATATTCTCCAAAGACTTGTTCCTTTCCCTCATCCTACATTCCACCTGGTCCCATGACATGACCACTAGTTCAGGTAGGCATCATGGACTGCTTCCCCTGAATTTTACTCCATGAATTCCTTTACCTTGGCTGTGACAATAATCTCTCTGAGCAGGATCAAAATGACATAGAATTCCAGAGCTTTCAGTAAGTGAGAAAGAGTGAGAGAGAGAGAGAGTTAGAAACATAATTGGTTCTATTCTGCAGAAATTGGACATGCCAAATTTTGAGAAAAGATTTCATTCATGGTAAAACTGAGCCTTTAATGAAAAAATAAATAAAACCTGCTACAAAATATTATGCATCAGGAATAATTTAAAAAATGTGAGCTATTAATAATGATTTGTGTTTTTCAAGCATTCACTATGTATTAGCACCTAATTTAAAATGTAATGGGTTCTTCTGCCTAAATCTCACCACAATACCAGGTGAGAATTATGAGGTATAGGATGCCTGAAGGATTGATTCAGGAAATGAATGATGGCATAAGCTGGGACAAAGTGGCCTGTGCTTTGCATAAGAGTGTATGTCTACACCCATCGTGCACAGTTGCCTATCTATGCACACAGGCAGAAAGATAGAGGTTTGTTTAGTAGGCTAGGAGTAATATTCAGCTTATCAGATGGTCCGAAAGGGAAATTTTGGTAGGAAGTCCAGTGTGTGTGGGTGTTTCTGACACAGTCACTCTTCATGGGGAACAGGCCCTCATTCTATGTATTCTAAAGATAGAGGCTTGTTAAAAAAGGGTATGGAAAATACCAACTGATAGCAAACATTGGAGACTGGGGTATAGACCTGATATTTCTAGGAGTAAGTGGTGAGGGGAATGAATAGGATGCCAGGAAGTAATATGGGGAAAAAGCAGAAGACTACAAGCATCTAGGATGGGCTAAAAGAGGTAATGCTTTATACACAAACCATAGCTTTTATTAAATAATGGGGAAAGGTAGCAAGGGCAACCAGCATGGCTGGGGAGGAGGGTCATGGGCACTTCAGTGGTGGGGGGTGAGCAGGATCTTTGTGCATCAACACCAGAAAGTTAACCATTATTGTAACCTTGTCACGTAAAATACAATAAAGTCTATCAAACATGAATCTTCTGTTATTGTTTTGGGGCCACACCTATCAGTGCTCGGGTGTCACATAGGATTAAACCCATGTTGACTGTGTGCAAGGCAGGTGTCATATCGTCTGTACTACCCTCTATCTCCTCAAATATAAATCCTTAAAAAAGAGAACAGTTTTTAAAATACTTATTTGTTTTGCTTTAGGTTTCTGTGTCACACCCCACAGGAATTACTCCTAGTGGGCTCAGAGGAAATCTTAGGGCTCAGGGGATATTTTAGATTGAACCCAGATCAGCCAAATTTGAGAAAAACATCCTCCTAACCATACAACATCTTCATCCCTCTTAAATAATTTTTAGAAAGATAAAATAATGACATTGAGAGTGATAAAATAAACATGAGTTGTAGAAATAAAAACATTCTGATGATAAGAGAGATATATACTTTGTTGCAGATGATAGGGAGAGCAAAACTTTCAACAGGAACTTTATTATGACGCAAAAAGAGGCCAAGGATGCAGAGAGTCTGGCAGAATCCAACACCACATGAACAGAAAGGGGGAGAACATTTTGAGACCATTTTCCCTTTTTTTTTTTTTTTTTTTGCTTTTTGGATCACACGCATCCAGCAATGCACATGAGTTACTCCTGGTTCACACACTAAGGAATTACTCCTTGCAGTGCTTGGGGGACCATATAGGATGCTTGGAATTGAACCCAGTTCAGCTGCGTGCAAGGCAAATGCCCTACCCGCTGTACTATTGCTCCAGCCCCCATTTCCCCTCTCTTAAGGGAAGGAAAAGCATTACTTCCTTGAGAGACTTCTAAACTGTTTTAGGATATGTGCTGCAAGCTCAAAGGACAGAAGAATCCCGATTTATTTTCATATAACTGCAAATTCAAACTTTTTACCTTGTGTATTGAAGCTCATAACTATAAACTCCAAGGTTCCATAGACACCAACATCCCTATACATCACACAGGTTCAAATAGATCAAAACATCTCAGGGAGGGTCCATACGATCCCTTGAAAACTTTCAGGATATTTCACAGGGTCACAAGTAAAAATTATGTAACCAGGAAATAGGAGCCTTTGGCATGAGACTGGGAATTTAACTGCTAGAACTAGGGCCCACAATAGGGAACAAGATTACAAAGGAGACAAGGAAAGAAAAGGTTGAGAAACATTACTAGATACCACAAAAGTCCTTATAAACTGACAAGTACTTGGAGACCACACTGTCTTTATGTCCACATGGAGAAAATGTGTCTTAATAAACCAGAAAGGTCCTTATAAGCCTTTAAGGACCTGTAGACCACAAATATCTCTTCAGACTTTACTTTTTGGGGGGGGGGGGCATCAGGGATTTGGGCGTCGTACCCAGTGACATAATTTTCTTAAGGCTTATTCCTAACTCTGTGGCTCTGGGATAACTCCTAAATGCTTCAGGAGACCAAATGGGGTGCCAGGGATTGAACCTTGGTTGCTGGCATGAAAGGTAAGTGGCTCTACCTGGTATATTATTGTTTCAGCTCCAGATCAGTTGCATTAAACCTCTGGTTGACGAGTATAAAAACCACTGCTGCTGCAGAGGTTTCCTGTGTCACACAATTCCTCAGATACCACACAGATTCTTGTAGATAGTCTAGTTTTTTATTGAACACATGCTAGCCTATTTTTTTTTATGTTATTGTAACTGCCCCTGGCGCTCTGTAATCCCATTAATGGCTAAGACCCTGAGACTATAAAACCCAGCTCTTGGAAGAGAACAGTGCAGAGTCTCCTGCCTCCACTCCTGGCTGTCCTCACTGGGGCCCATTGGAGGAGGGTGGATTGACTTTCCCTCCCCACCCCGAGCAGAGCCCCAGCAGCTGAAGACCTCCAGTTCCAGCCACAGCCATGCTTAAATCCACTCTCCACATGTTCAGATGAACCTCACACATGAAGCAACTGGAAGGTGTTGGGGACCTGGGGCATAGATCTCCAAGCCTGCTTGGATTGGGACTGGGCCTCCTCCACCCAGATCCCCCATCTTCCAGTATGTAGGCATTACACCCACCAACTGACCCCGGTGCCATGTAATCCCATCAACGGCCAAGACCCAGAGACTATAAAACCCAGCTCCCAGAAGCGCATGGCTTCGACATCTTACTATCTAGTTCTTACTCTGGAGAAACTGGCAGGCTACCAAAAGTATCCTGCCCACACGACAGAGTCTGGAAAACTCCCCATGATGTATTTAATATGCCAAAAACTGGTAATAGTGATGGGTCTCATTCTCCTGACCCTGAAAGAGCCTAGAATGTGGCACTTTCAAAAATCTCAGGGCTAAGATGAAGGAGACGTTACTGGTGCCTGATCGAGGAAATCAATGAACAACAGGATGACAGTGATACAGTGATGCTAGCCTAAGACAACACAGTTTTGTAGGACATTGATACCCATAAAGCATACAGTTTCCTGTAAAGTCCACAGATCTCTACACATCACACAGAACTTTGTAGCTCGCGTGCATGTGTGTATTCTCTCCACAGAAATGGGAAAATTTTTTCCCTCCAAAATTTCTGCTATCCCACATCTTTAGATGGCAGCAAACATATTTAGAGAAGTAGGCTTGAAGGAATGGAATTTTCTGGGAAATGTTTGAGAAGTAGGCTGGAAGGAAATGAATTTTCTGGGAAATGTTTGAGATTCATATTTTCCAAACCAACTTCCAAAACTAGTATTTCTCAATCCAAAGTTTATAGATTCAACTCATATAGAACAGTTTTTATATATGCTTGTATGTCTATTTTTACATACTAGAATTTCTTATGCTTTTTATTTGCTAAAAGTATTTTATTAAATAAAAATTATCAATAGTTGAATTTTAGGCATACAATGATCTAGCACTAATCCTACTCCCAATGTCAAATTCCCTCCACCAGTGTTCTATGAGTTCAAGCACAGAGAACGTTTTATATACATCAGAGAAGAATGTTTATTTGGCCTTTTGTGAGTAGAGGACCCTCTATTGGGTCTTTTAGATCATGGTAGGGCTTTTATATCTTTATTATTATTCTGTCTTTTATCTGTTTAGTGCAGGAGTGCTGGAAATCTCCCACACTATTGTGTTTCCATCAATGTGTTTCTTTAGGTTGTAAACAGAAGCTTTCTGAATTCTACTAACCTTTTATTTTTTTCCCTTAACAAATTAGAAGTATCCATTTCTGTCTCTAATTACTTTATTTAGCTTGAATGATATTTGGAATGATATAAATATGCAGGATTTTTTTCTGTCTACTGGGCTTGAATTATTACTTTTTAAAACTTCACTCTGAAAGTATTTATTAAGTGAGTTTTGCTGTATGTCTTTGAAGCAGCAACTATACAAATTTTCTTACCTGAACATCTAGGTTCAGGGTGGTATGGCCGTAGACATTCGCGGCAGCGCGGTTCCAGGAGCTGGTTTTTATAGTCTCTGAGTCTTGGCCGCTGATGGGATTACACAGTGCCAGGGGGCCAGTTGGTGGGTGTGACCCCCACCTACTGGAATTTGGAGGATCTGGGTGGAGGATGCTTGACTCCAATCCGAGTAGGCTTGGAGATCTCGGCCCCGGAACCCACGTGGCTTTGTCCCTCTGCCGGTACCTTCAGGTGTGCGGAGAGTGGTCTCAGCATGGTGGTGGCTGGTCCTGGAGGTCTTCAGCTGCCGGGGCCCTGGTCAGGGCGGGGAGGAAAGCTCAACCCGCTCCCCTCCAAGGGGCCCCGGTGAGGAATAGCCAGGCGTGGGGGCAGGAAACTGCACTGTTCTCCCTCCGGGAGCTGGTTTTTATAGTCTCTGAGTCTTGGCCGCTGATGGGATTACATGGCGCCAGGGGGCCAGTTGGTGGATGTGACCCCTGCCTACTGGAATTTGGAGGATCTGGGTGGAGGATGCTCAACTCCAATCCGAGTAGGCTTGGAGATCTCGGCCCTGGAACCCATGTGGCTTTGTGCCTCTGCCGGTACCTTCAGGTGTGCGGAGAGTGGTCTCAGCATGGTGGTGGCTGGTCCTGGAGGTCTTCGACATCTTATTATGACATCTCATTCCTACTTTGACAAACTGGCAGGCTACCGAATGTAGCCTGCCCACACGGCAGAGTCTGGCAAACTCCCCGTGGCGTACCCAATATGCCAAATGCCAGTAACAATGATGGGTCTCATTCTCCTAAAGAGCCTTGAATATAATCTCAGGGCTAGGATGAAAGAGATGTTACTGGGGCTTGCTCGAGGCAATCGACGAATAACAGGATGATCTGTGATCTGTTATCTGTGAACATCTAGGTGCTCTGTGGCTTTTGATAATAAAATATAGTTCATTGACAGAAAGATTATTAGTTATAATAGATTATGTTACAATTTGTGTGTGTTTTAGTTATTTTTACAAACGTACATTCACTTTTTATAGGCAACTTTTTAGTTCTTTTAGGTTTAATTTTCTTTTTTTTTTCTTTTTTTGGGTCACACCCAGCAATGCACAGGGGTTCCTCCTGGCTCTGCACTCAGGGATCACCCCTGGCGGTGCTCAGGGGACCATACGGGATGCTGGGCATCGAACCCGGGTCGGCCGCGTGCAAGGTAAACGCCCTCCCCGCTGGGCTATCGCTCCAGCCCCAGGTTTAATTTAGTTCTTGCAATTTGTCTGAAAAGATTTGATCTTACCTCAAATCTAACAGAAAACCTTTTTGTGTAGTTACTCTAGATTAAAATTTTTTTATATTCCATACTTTGAATATGTCATTCCACTTTTTTTTGTTTCTATGGTGTCATATAGGAGTATATTCTGATCCTTAAGTTATTTCCCTTGTAGTTGATGTTTTTCTTCTCTTTCAATGCTATAAGTTGTTTGTCTCTTTACTTGTTGTCATTATTTTGATTAGTATGTGTCTTGGTGTTGTTTTGTTTAAGTCTGTTTTGGTACTCTTTGGACTTAGAAAGGAAATCAAAGAGGAAATCAGAAGAGTCATGGAAATG